CCAAACAGCCTCGCTTTCTTCCGGGCTTTGCTATTCATCGTTAGTCATGGTTTGCCGCCGCTCGGAGGAAACACGAAGAACACAAGTCACGGGTGCCCTTGTGCCCTTTGCGTTCGCGTTCCATGTCCTCGTTTTTCCTGCGGAAGTGTGGCTGTCTCTCGAAAGGGTCTTGTGTCCTCTCGCGTGTCCTCCCCAGTTAATTTCGACTGCATACGTTCCTCAGGAGGGTGCCGAGACCAGACATTGATCGCGCCTTGAAGCAACCAAGTTTTCGGCCTCTACGGGGCCTTCGCCGGCTTTGGGGGCCATCGAAAAACCGACTCGGGACGGAGAGCCTATCCTGGGGAAAAGGTCGGGACTTCGGGAACTGCGTAGAACAAACAACGGTACATTTCATGTCCTGGTGCACTCTGGCTAGAAACATTCGACGCACTACTCAGAGCGTGCTTGCGGGCATCTTCTCCGAGCTGCAGGTTGACCAGTTGGGTCGAGAGAAGCAGGCACGTTTGTCTAAGCGCCTTCCTCGTGAAGACGGCTTGACCCAGCGTGCTTGCCTGAACCGCCTCTGTAACTACCAAGACCTGACGGGACCTCGAGATGACGAAGACGTTTCTCCGAAGGCTTCGGGATCTTGGGACCTTCAGGGATCTTCTGGATAGCCTGCACGATGCCTTGGATCCTGGCCAGACCAGCATTGACCCCGACCTTCGTCTCCTGGATGAGCGTATGCCAAGCTCGGTGCCCAGACTCCCATCGCCACTGCCACGCTCCTCCCAGAGGGACTGCCCAAATGAGGAAAGCCGCAGCCAGGTTAGCCACCTCCATTTCCTTCCAAGATTCCTCAAGTGCCTCAAGACAGCGTTTCCGGTGTCGATGAGAGAGAGAGCGTGGGAGAGAGAGAACTTCTTGGGAGACCCACGCCTGTCTTGGTGCCCTGCCACTAGCCAGCACGCGAACGAGCATCATGCAATACATCAGCAACGAGCGTGAGGGTGAATATCGAAGTATGGTTTCGGAGTTTCCAGCTCCACCAGGCACTGAAACTGCGAGCGTGCTTCAGGGTCGTCGAATAGAGCCTCGTCGCGCTCGATTCTGGGGTAGAAGCGCTGCTGGGCCAGCTGCAGGTAGAAGGGACAGTGCACTTGAAGCGAGATTGCCTTGTGATTTGTGATAGTGATCGCCAAGTCGTTGTAACCAGTGCGTCGCGAACCTAAAGGTGGGCAGAGCACGCGAGGTAGTCCAGCCGTTTGTCCTTCTTGTCCTCCTGATGCTGGGGAGAGAGAGCACAGTGGTGCCCAAATTGTGGCCTTGCGGGAAAACGGTGGCCGAAACCCAGAGATCACGCTCTATGAGCATTTGATGAAACAACGCCGCCCACGGCCTGTTCTCAGTGTCAGCATGCGCTCCTGCACTGGTCGACTGCGCAGATCCTAGTGTACTGTTGGAGTCCAAGAAGTGGTGCTCGGGTTAAAGACACGAGCCAGCGTAACAGAGGCATGAGCCTACCACTTGGCGAGCAGAGGCTGCTCAGTGATGCTGTGCGACCCATGCCCGACCACAACGTTGCACTGCTATCGTTGAGTACGGAGCGACGATCAAGAGGCGAAGGCAAGAATGCAAGACGTGGTAGTGGCGAGGAAGAACACGACACGAGTCGGCGTCGATCATGCCCGTGTTAACCCAGAGTGATAATACACACCGCGAAACCCATTGGCACCTGAAAAGGGCCGTCCCTTGGGTACCTCGTCTCGCAAGTTCCAGCCAAGAAAATATGTTGCCAACGGACAGCTTCGGCAAGATAGGCCATGCGTGCAGGAATGTACCAGCCAGGAGGACGCTTGTCGAGGAGCGCCCTGGGTGTCCAGCGTCAACACGCTGGTGGAGATGACTTCAAGAATTCTGCAGCAAGTAACCCTCCTGTGCTTGCTGAGAACGGTCTGCTTGGCGAGCGGCGGCTGGATGTCGGCTAGACTGAACTCTGCCGGCTTCACAGGGCTTGCAGCAGTGCCTGGCGTTGCTGGAAGTTGTTGGGGTTCGAGATATGACGTGTGCTCTCTCAGGCCCAATCCAGACTGCATGGCTCCGCTGCAACATTAATTTGCCATAGGTCGGAGAGCCTAGTGGAAACGAGCCTACAAAGTGGGTCGGTCAGCTCATGCCACGGTCGGTCAGCTCATGCCACGGAACGCGCAGAGCGGTGAATCCCGATGTTCTGGCGCTGACCAGGGCGGAGAGCCCTTGAAGATTACGCCTAGCTTCTTTGATGGTCACTGAAAAAGGCCCCATTAGTCATGATGTCCAGACACCCTTGGTTGTCACCCAAAAGCGTCACCTTGAGAGACCCCAGTTGAGGAACTAGGAGAGCCCACGCTAGAGTCCACTGCGCAGCCAGAACCTCAGCCATGGAGGAGACCGAATCCACAGACATATCCGCTGGGTCAAGTGTCTGCGCTGCGTGCCCCAAGATAGCAGCACGGTTGTCCGAGGCTACGACCTGGGACCCCCTTCAGGAACAGAGGAGCCTGGCGGAATAGAACTCCCCCTCCAGATCCGTCGGTTTAGATCCCCATCTCCTGCCAAGGGGACATGTCTTCAAGAGGAGAGACCTGTAAGGGCACTGCACGCAGACGAACGTAAGAACTTGGCCAGGGCCAGCACGTTACTGTCGAGAGTTGTCCCAGGGTTGCTTTAGCACAGCGCTGCGGGGCCCGGAACGTGGTAGTGGAGGATGCTTGCAGCCGTTTGAAGTCGGCTGAGGCCTCATCGAGTTGGTGAGTGCTGTCTGCCGAAGGACATTGGTACTGCATGCCGCTGTCCTCCTGCGTGAGCTACAGGACGTCATGTGGGAGTTCGGCTCCTTTCAAAACTGGTTGCGCCGCTCCCGCCGCTGCTGCGTCGGCAGATTCTTGGAATTCCAGCGCCTCGTACCTCTGGGCTAGGGCTCAGTCTGTTTCGCCCCCTCCTGCGCACCGCTGAGTTTCCGTCTACACTGGTGTCTGGGGCGAGAAAATGCCTCAGGCCTCGCTGGGCCTATTTTCATCGTCCGAGATATTTGGGAGCAAATCCTCGTCCTCTTCGGTGGGATGGCCAGCCGCCTCCTCCAGCGCCGGTGCCGAAGCCTGCGGCGGGGTACCGAACTGACGAGGAGGAGGAGGAGGAGGAGGAGGAGGAGGAGGAAGAGGAGGAGGAGGCTGCCGCTGCTACTGCTGCTGCTGCTGCTGCTGCTGCTGCTGCTGCTGCTGCGTGAAGCATGGCCGCATTTGAGGGCGGTCCCGGCGGCGCCTGTGATCCTCGACGAGCCGCAGCGCTTCCGCCGCTGTGTCCCGCTGCCTTGGCAGTGGAGCTTGCTGCAGTCGTGCTGCGACTGACTCCGATATGCTTTGAAAAGCTGCGAAGCGAGAGATCAACCCCGAAAGCTGCCCTGTGAGGGGGATCTGATTCTCTTGCAACTGCTGAATCACAAGAAGCGAGCGGTCGGCGGGGCAGGCGAGACTGCAGGACATACAAATGGGGACGCTGCTGCTGAAAGCGAAGACGCGGAGCTGGCCTGAGCGAATAGTGAAGAGGCATATTTCGGACTGCTGCCTGAGGTGGGCGCTGCTGCATTCGTCATGAGAACACGGACGTCCGCCTGCTGCTTTCGAATTCTCGCCTCGCTGCCTCCCTCTTCCGCTTCCTGAAGTTCCTTGAACGATGATAGCAAATGCTCGGCCTGCTTGACGTCCATTATTAGCACATTCTTAGACGCAGAGGCCTGGTTCAGGGCGAACTGGGCCTTGTGCTCCTCCTCGGTTGCCAAGTGAAGCCGACCCCGAGCTCTGTTCAGATACCTTTCTTGATTCGCAACTTTGTCTCGCAATGATTGCTCGTGAATGTACATGCGCAACATGACCGAATATTTCAGCCTGAACCCTGCAATGCGGGATGATTGATTGTTCATGATATTGGATCAGACACATCGCTTGCCCAATGTGCTTATCGTCACCTTGACGCTTGTCCATCGCTTGCCCATCGCGTGTCCACATCGCTTGTGATGTTTCTTGAGCTCTTCTGGATCTGAAGGTGGCTCGACCCAACAGGGATTGGTCTTGGCCGCTGCAGCTCAGGCAGACGGATTGATGATGGGGCTATGCGGCTTGGCCTCGCTGTGCTTGGGCTGATCTGTTGGGCGCTTGCCAGCAGCGTCTTCCTGCTGCTGGCTGCGCCTCTTGGGAGTCAGAGACCTGCCCTCCCTCCTCGTCTGGCGCTGGCCTGGCTGTGGGGGGAAGCACCAGAGACATTGGCGAGCAGAATATTCAGTGTGATTACCGCAGGAACAGACAAGCCCACGCGCCTGCATCCTGGGAGACGTTGCTGCCTTCAGCCCCTGCTGCATCGCTGCCTGTCTGACTGTGCCATGGCGGGGCCATAGAGTTGTGATGACTGCTCAACCTGCGACGAGCCGATGAAAGCCTGAGCAGCATCCGAGCTGTGGCCCGTTGGGACCTGGCCCGACTGTGCTAGGCGGGCTCAGGCCCGCCCGATCTTGCCGTAGTAGATGACCCTCGGAGAGGGCCGCGTGGCCAGAGGCCAGGGCGTCACGGCCGTGCTCGCTGCAACCCTATTGCGGCGGGGCGATTCGTATGGCTGCTGTCCCGCGGGGAGGCTCGCTGCTACCTTGCAGCAGCGCCCAAAGTCTCGAACTGGGATGGCAGCTGGGGGACGAGGAGGAAGGAGGGGGGAGGAGAAGAGCAGAGGGAGGACGGACGGAGGGCGGACAGATCTCCTTCCTCCTTCCCCGCTTCATCCCCTTCCTCCCAGGAGGAGAGGCAGGGGCCTTCTTAGAATGGCCTGGAGGCTTCTAGCAAGGCTTCTTAGAAGCCCGGAGGGCTTCTAAGACGGCCCCTGCCTTGTTAGAAGCTTCCCCGCCTTCTCTGAAGGCCGCCGCCCTTGACCTGCACGCTCATCCGCCGCCGGCCCTCCGTCGTGCCCCGCGCCGACGCCCCGACGCGCCGCCGGAGGTCGAGGTCGCCCCGCGGTCGCGGCGGCCGCAAGGAGACCCCCGCGAGTGCCCAGCGTCTCTTCCCTCCGGCTACGCGGGAGATCGACCCTTCGCTGGATTGGCCTGTGCGCACTTTGTCGAGCTGTGAGAGGCGGGGGTCAATGCAAACGGGGGTCAGCCAGATCGCCAGATCTTTCTGGATTCTGCAGAGCCAAGGGTCCATTGACCCGGGCTTGCGCGCAAGATCTTGCAGAATCCTGCAGGATTTTGCAGCATCCTGCAGAGCCTGACTGACCTGGGCTTGCATTGACCTGGGTCAGTGCGTCCCCGAACTTGGAGCAGTGCAGAGGGCATTCTTTCTTCTCTGGCGATGACGGGCGTCGCCGGGGGGGAGGGGGGCGGCGAGGGGCCTGTAGCGTCGCATTTCGCGCAGGCGCCGTCCAGGAATGTCTAGGAATGACCGAAGCCAACTCGGAGGTAATCACGAATCGTGATTTTCCCGCGGCCAGGGCGGGTAACGGCCGTTGTCGCGAATACAACAGATGAGCCCGCGCTCCCCCGACGCGTCGCGCGCCCGTCAGTTGAGACAGCGACGCAGTCTCCCTGCCGAGTCTAAGTAGGGTATGCTTGTGCTTGGACAGTTCTGGATCCCTTCTTCTTTTGGTCACTCTTCTCAGCCATAGTGGTCCGATCGCCCGCACAATCTCGACTCACATAGGGGGTACTCCAGTTTTTGACCCGACCGTCGGCGCATATCTGCGTACTGTATGCAGAGTAGAAGACCCGCAATCTACATCTAATTGCCGCCATCATTTCTCCCGTGCAGTATCCAAAACCGCAGTTCTGCTTCCTCCCCGGCCGCCCTCTTTTCTGTTTCCTCCTCCTCGGCCCCCCGTCGAAGGGCCGTCGAGTCCTTGCCGCATACCATTCGCGCAGGGGAACTACGCATGCGCTCCACACTGCACCTTAGCGGGCGCATTGACGTTGACCCCATCATTCGGATGTCCTGTCCTGTCCTGTCCTCGCCCCCCTCCCTTCCAGGGGGGATGGCCTCGCCTCGTCGGCGCGCCGCGCCGGGGTGCGCGGCGCCTCCGTGCCGCGAGGGTTTTCCGCGACGGGGGCCCACCAGTTTGGCCCACCCGGGTGGCGGCGCCCCGTCCCCCCCCCCACCCCCCTGTTTGGGGCGCCCTACCCGGAGGTGCCTTTCGACGGTTTTTTTTGGCCGGAGAGCGTCGGCGATTTGTTTTCACCGGGTGTATATTCTTTCGCCCGCTGATTTTTTCCGACGGGCGAATCTAGAAGGCTTCGCAAGGTGAATTTTCATGGCGTGGCATTTCGCCAGGCGAAGGTGAAGGGTCTTCGGCTGCTCACTTAAGATACTTAGACGTTCGTACAGGTCACTTACAAGTACGTATAACTCAACGGCAAGTTCAGAAGTAATTTAACATAACCTTGTAAACACTTATCAAGTCAGCTCAGTACTTACAAGACGGCTGGTCCACCCAAGTATTACGAATCATAATGTGAATGGTATTTGGAATGAATAATAACAATAATACGAAGAATAAACCACAACTATTGCGACTAAGAACAACACTAAGAACATGCATACTGATAACAAGCATGATTGAGAACGAGGCCTGATCACCAAACCACTGGATCACCAGATCACCAGATCACCCGGTCACCACCTGATCACCGGATCAGCTGACCAGATTTCCAGATCAGCCCGATCATCCAGATCAGCCGGATCACCGGATCAGCTCGCCACAAAAACGGGTCACTGGATCACCGGATCAGCTGGCTGGATCACCGGATCAACTGGGTCACCGGATCAGCCAGATCATCGCGATGATCCGATGGCCCGCTGACCTGCGGGTCAGTGGATCACCTGATCACCAGGTTAGATCAACGGATCACCAGGTCATTGGATCACCGGATCACCAGATCACCGGGTCAGCGGATCACCGGATCCCCGGGTTACCAGATCACCAGGTCATAGGGTCAGAGGGCCGGATCACCAGATCACCGGATCACCAGATCACAGGGTCACCCGATCACCGGATCACCGGGTCAACGGGTCAACACATCACCGGATCATTGGATCACCGGGTCAGCGGATCATTTGATCACCGGGTCACCGGATCACCGGACCATTGGATCGCCAGATCACCAGATTTTGGGATCATTGGTTCAGCGGATCAAAGGCCGGATCACCAGATCACCAGATCACCATATCGCACCGGATCACCAGATCACCGGGTCACCGGATCACCGGATCAACGGGTCAGAGGTCGGGTCGGGGTCACCATATCACCGGATCACCGGGTCACCCAGGGGCGCTGACGTTTCGGCGGCGAATTTTTTCTCTTTATAGGTTTGAGCGCGTGTTGTTCTTTCAGCAGCTCCAGCACGTTGGGCCACCTACGCCTACGCAAGGAGGGCCGGGCCACCCGCAGAGCCGCGCGCCCAGCGGCCAGGGCCAAAAAGCTACCCCCTACCCCTCCTCCGGGGTGGGCGGCGCGCAGAGGTGGCCCACGCGGTGCGCGGACCTCTTTATGAGCAGGAAGGAGGGGTCGTCGGCGGGTTGGCGCCCTATCCCTATAGAAGAAACATCTACCTGAAAGGGATGCCCGTCACAGCTCCAGAAACACAAAGCGAACAACATTGGAGCAATAATGGAGCCCCTTCGCCCCCCTGGGCGCTGAAAGTTTGGCGTCGAGATCCGAAGACTGCCCTCGCCGAGCAACGGTTCAGACAACTCGATGGGCGGCGGATCTAGCGTTCGTCGTTTTTTTTGTTTGTTTTCTTGGTTTTGTGTGTGTGTGTGTTTTGTTTGTGGTTGTTTAACTGAGAAAATCTCGAGAGCACGTGTCGGAATCCGAAGTTTACCCCCGCCTCCCGTCGACCGCGACATTCGACGGTTGGTGGGGGTACATAGGGCTTGGGTGTCGCCACCAAACAATGGAACTCGCAGTGGTGTGCACACGTCGACCTGAGGGACACGGGACCTGCGGCTCTTCGCTGCTGTCTGTTGGTGGGGGGAGGCTTTCACGGGCCCGGGGACCGACAGAGAACGGTTCGGGACGACACGCAGGTCTTGGGAGAAGCCCCGGGGTTCCCAGGACCCGTCTCTCCCAGGCCCCGCTGCCTGCATGCCAGGTGCGACCATGATGACCGGCCTTGGCCGCAGGGAGGTCCCCCCCTCGCCATCGCGCCAGGACGGCGGCCGCGGAGGTGGACGAGGAGGGCGCGGGCGCAGCCGATCGCGCGGACGGGCCGGGGCACGGGCGCGGGTGGGAAAGAGGGTGAGAAGGACAAGCAGGAGGGCACGGATGATGATGATGATGATGATCATGATGATGATGATGATGATGATGATGATGATGATGATGATGATGGTGGTGGTGGTGGTGGTGGTGCTGATGATGTTGATGATGACGATCATGATGTTCATGACGAGGACGAGGATGTTGATGATGATGTTGATGATAATGATGCTGATGTTGATGCTGATGATGCTAATGACGCTGATGATGCTGATGATGATGATGCTGATGCCGCTGATGATGCTGATGATGTTGATGATGATGATTGTGCTGATGATTCTGCTGATGATGCTGCTGTTGAGGACGAGGATGATGGTGATGGTGATGATGCTGATGATGATGAGGCGGATGCTGATGATGCTTATGATGATAATGCCGATGATGATGGTGATAAGGATGCTGATGATGCCAGTGATGCTGATGATGAGGACGATTATGACGATGCCGATGATGATGCTGATGAAGATGATGCTGATGATGAGGACGATGATTCTGATGATGACGATGATTATGATGCCGAAGCTGATGATGATGCTGATGATCCTGATGATGCAGATGATGCTGATGATGATGATGATGCCGATGATGATGATGATGATGATGATGATGATGATGAGGATGATGATGACGATGGTGATGGTGATGGTGATGCCGATGATGATGATCATGATGACGATGCTGACGCTGTTGCTGCTGATGCTGATGATGCTGGTGCTGTGGACGATGATGATGCTGATGCTGATGATGCCGATGATGATGATGATGATGCTGATGCTGATGATGCTGATGATGCTGATGACGATGCCGATGATGGTGATGCTGATGCTGATGATGATGATGCTGATGATGCTGATGATGCTGATGATGAGGACGATGATGATTCTACCGATGATGATGATGATGATGATGATGATGATGATGATGATGATGCTGATGATGATGATGATGATGATGGTGATGATCATACTGATGCTGATTATGCTGCTGATGAGGCCGATGATGATGATGATGATGATGATGATGATGATGATGATGATGATGCTGCTGATGATGATGCTGCTGCTGATGCTGATGCTGATGATGCCGATGATTCGGATGATGAGGATGGTTATTGCGATTCTGATGATGATGCTGATGCTGATGATGCCGATGATGATGATCATGAGGATGATGCTGATGATGACTATACCGATGATGATGACGATGTTGGTGACGATCATACTGATAATGATAATGATAATGATAATGATAATGATAATGATAATGATGATGACGATGCCGATGATGATGCTGATGATGATGCCGATGCTGATGATGATGCTGATGATTCTGAGGATGATTCTGCTGATGCTGATGCTGCTGATGACGGTGCTGATGGTGCTGATGCTGATGATAGTGCCGATGATGCTGATGATGATGCTACTGCTGCTGGTGGTGATGCTGATGAGGATGATGCTGATATGCCGATGACGATGATGCCGATGATGCCGATGATGATGATGATGATGATGATGATGATGATGATGATGATGATGATGATGCTGATGATGCTGATGATGATGATGCTGATGATTATGATGATGCTGCTTATGTAGATGATGCCGATGATGACGGTGATGATGAAGCTGATGCTGATGATAGTGCCGATGGTGATGCGGATGCTGATGCTACTGCTGCTGGTGATGATGCTGATGAGGACGATGCTGATATGCCGATGATGATGATGCTGCTGCCGATGAGGATGCTGCTGATTCTGTTGATGATGATGCTCGTTGATGATGATATGCCGATGACGATGATGCCGATGCTGATGATTATGATGATGATGATGATAATGATGATGATGATGATGATGGTGATGATGATGAGGCTGATGATGCTGATGATGTCGATGATGATGCTGATGATGCTGATGATGCTGATGACGGGGACGATGCTGATGATGATGCCGTCGCTGATGATGACGGTGATGTTGATGCCGATGCTGCTGATGATGCTTATAATGAGGACGGTGATACTGATGCTGATGATGACGTTCATGATGATGTGGATGAGGCCGATGATGAGATGATGATGCTGATGCTGATGATGCTGATGATGCTGATGACTAGGGCTATGATGACGATGATGATGCCGATTCTGATGCTGCTGATGATGATGCTGATGATGCCGATGATGATGATGATGCTGTTGCTGATGGTGATGATGCTGATGATGAGAGGACAACGATGATGAGATGATGATGGGGACGATGATGATGCTAATTTTGAGGATGATGCTAATTATGCTCATGCTGATGATGAGGACGATGCTGATGATGATACTGATGATGATGATGATGATGATGATGATGATGATGATGATGATGATGATGATGAGATGATGGTGATGTTGTTTATGCTGGTGGTGATAAGAGTGTTGGTGGTTTCGTTGCGGCTGATGATGATGTTGATGAATACCTTCATGATGGTGATGGAATTGGTGATGGTGATGATGATGATGATGATGGTGCTGATGGTGATGATCATGATGATGACGATGATGATGTCGGCGACAACGATGACGATGCTGTCGATGCTGATGGGGGTGAGGATGAGGATGAGCTGGTGATGATGATCATGGTTGTGCTGAAGATGATCATGATGATTAGTTGGTGATGGTGGTAATGGTGATGGTGTTGCTCATGATTGTGATAATGACGATGAGTTGTTTATCATGGTGATGATGCTGATGATGGTGATGCTGATGATGATGAAGATAATGATGATGCTCATGCTGATGATGATGCTCATGATGGCGACGAGGTTCATTGTGATGGTGTTGATGGTGTCTACGGTGGTGATCATGATGCTGTTGTGTGATGTTTATGATAATGTTGACAATGATGATCATGCTGATCATGATGAGGATCACGACCATAAGGATGACCATGATGATGCTGATGCTTATGATTATGCTGATGATGATGATTCTGATTATGAAGAGGATAATGATGAGGACCATGGTGATACTGATGAGGATGATGGTGAGGGTGATGATGAGGACGCTGGTGATGCCGATGCTGCTGGTGATGCTGGTGATGGTGATGATGATGATGATGATGATGATGATGATGATGATGATGATGATGATGTTGAGTATGATGGTGAGTGCGATGGTGAGTGTGATGGTGATGGTATGGTGATGGTGATGGCGATGCTGGTGATGGTGGTGGCGATTGTGGCGATGGTGATGAAAATGATGATGATGATAATGATAATGATGATGATGATGGTGGTGGTGATGATGATGATGATGATGATGATGATGATGATGATGATTATGATCATGATGCTTATGATCATGATGAGGATGGTGATGCTCATGATGATGAGTAGGAGGATGAGGATGAGGACGAGGATGAGGATGAGGATGAGGGTGGGGATATTACTGTGGATGGTGATGATGAGGATGAGCCTTAGGATGAGTCTTAGGTTGAGGATGAGGATCAGGATGCTGCAGATGATGATGACGACGAAGTCGATGTCGATGATGCTGGTGATGACGATGATGCTGATGATAATCATGGTGATCACGATGATGATGACGACGATGATGATGCTGATGATGATGAGGCTGATAATGAGGATGAGGATGATGGTGATGCTGCTGATACTGATGATGATGATGGTGGTGATGATGCTGCTGCTGATGGTGATGAGTGATGGTGATGAGTGATGGTGATGATGCTGCTGATGATGCTGCTGATGATGATTCTGACTCTGCTCATGATCATGCTGAGGTAGATGCTGAGGATGGTCAGGATGATGATGGTGATGGTGGTGATGATGATGAGGATGCTCGTGATGCTGAGGCTGGTGATGATGATGCTAATGATGATGAGGATAATGATGTGGATGAGGATGAGGATGAGGATGAGGATGAGGATGAGGATGAGGATGATGATGATGATGATGATGATGATGATGATGATGATGATGCTGTCGATACTGATGATGCTGATGATGGTGATGATGAGGATCATGCTGCTGCTGATGATGATAAGGATGATGATGCTGATGATGAGGGTGATGAGAAGGATGAGGATGAGGACGATGAGGATGATAATGAGGTGGCCCGCGCTCCCCGTCACGCTCCGCGTGTCGCGGGGCGCGGAGCGAAATCCGAATCCTCCCCTCGCCAATCAACGATTCAGGCAACTCGATGGGCGGCGGGGGTACAGTCAACCCGCATAGCAAGGAATGGGCATTCTTCCCGAGGGTACCCTTTAATCCTTGCCTCCTCGGTCCATCCTTGGCCGCTTTCGTTGGCCGCGCCCCGCTCGCAAAGTGTCAACATGGCCTTCCAAGGCCCTTGCATCCTTATCGTGCATCCTTATGATACGCTTTGACTGTAGGGTTCGACATTCGTCGAGCACGTGGCGAAATCCGAACCCTGCCCCCGCCTCCCATCGATGCAGGAGAGTCGATGGTTTGCTGGGGCAGAGTTCGGACGTCGCCACCTAGAAGAGGTACTGATACGGCAGGATCGCCCCGTCTCGACCGGCGGCGGCCCCAGCGCGGGCGTTTCAGGTTGAACGCCGCCCGCGGCCCAGAGTCGGCCCATCGTTGCACGATCCGGCGTTTCCGAAGCGCCCGATCGTTCAAGTCTGAACGATCCCCGCGGCCCGCGGGTTCAAGAATCAACGCCGGGGCCGACACGACGCGGACCTGCCGCAGCCGCGGCTCGTCCCGGAGAGTCTCCTCGTCACCTCGGGCGGATGCTCCTCGAGAGATGCTGGCCCGAGCGCGCCCCGGGAGAGGTCCGCGGGGGGCCGGCATCGGTGCCTTCTGTTTCGGGGGCGGCAAAGAGGGGGGTGATGACTAGGGGGGGTGGATATCATGGCGTGGACCATGATATTTCCTCTGATTTCTTGGCGCCTCATCTTATTTCATTACGTTCCTGGCCCCCCCACTGGGCCGTTCACATGGCCCTCCGGCCATGATTTGCGCGCCCCCCCTCTTGGACGCCCCCCTCTTGGCCGCCCCCGACTGTTGCCTCCCCCAGGAGCGGAAGCGGCCAGGGGCCCTCTGCTCGCTCCCCGCGTCAGCGAGCGTTTTCCACGACTCGCAAGGTGCCACTTCGCACACGTTTGAAAAAGCGCATGTTTGCCTCGATGAAGCGTGTCGTGGATCCCCCGCCGCGTATCCGAGTCATTTGCGAGCAGTTGCTTCTGCGAGTAGTGGAACGCCCTCGCTCCCCGCGGCCTCCAGGCTGAAGCATGAGGGCCGCTCTTGGCTCGGGAGGGGGTCTGGCCTTCGGGCCGCTCCTCAGATCTGCTGTCGGGGGCCCTGCCGCAGCTGGGGCCACGACGAGGGTGCGAAGTTAGTCGTGCTTCGCGCTTTGCGGTCTGAGCGATATCAGAGGGAGGCGCGAGTCCCTCATCCTTCTCTTGGGGGGGGGGAGAAAGAGCGAAGGTAATCGCGCATCTCGCTTCGTGGACCGCGAAGCGCGAAGATAGTTGCCCTAGCGCAGGGAGGTTGGAAAAAGTGGCTCGGGGCAGCCCTGGCACTTTTTTCAGCCCTGTCCAGAGTCCCTAGAGTTTTCCAGTCCTGGCGACCCCATCCCAACTGTGGCGAGCTCGATTCAGCGCCGTGCCGCTTGTTTCAACCCAGGCCTCTTCCACGTTGCTTGAGCTTCCAGCTTCCACGTTTTCCAGCGTCTCTGTGCTCGTGGCCGAGGCTCGCCGTTGCCACAGAGGCCTCGTCGTTTCTTTTGCAGTGCCCCTTGTGGTGGCACGATGACGGTGCCTCCCCCCTCGCCTGTTCGTCAGAGGATGGCCAGTTGAGGCATCGGTGCCTCTCCTTCTTCTCCTCCTCCTCCTCCTCCTCCATCCCCCTTCCTGTTGCTCAGAGGAGGAAGAGGTCACGATAATGATACGTTCCAAGATTTCCCAGATTATTGAGATTTCGAAGAATCCCTGCTGTTCCACACGGGCCGCAGAAATGAGGCCCGCAACATATTCCAGGCATCCTGGAACGTTCCTGAGCCAATCGCAGTGCGACATCATTCTTGTCCTACTTCCTCCTCCTCCTCCTCCTCCTCCTCCTCCTCTTCCTCCCTCCTCATCCTTTCTGGCGGGAGGACCGCCGATGTGTCTCGAATGGCCCTCCTCCAAGCTTGGCTGCCTGCGCGCGTCCGCTCGCATCTTCGCTGGCGGAACACGTGGTGTGTGAGCACAGCCTCAGTGCGCAGTGCGCGCACCAGGCAGTCACCAGGTACAAGGAGTATGTACAGTACAACTCGGCCGTGTCGTCGCGATCAACGCTGCGTGCGCACAGACGCTGATGCACGCGTGCGTGTGTGGCCGCAGCCGCGCAATGCAGGGCTCAGCTCTGATCTGAGCGTGGGCGTGCACACTCGTTCACACCAAGTGCGCGCGCACGTCGCTGCTGGTGCAGCCTGCTTTTGTCCTCGCGTGCAGTCGGGCTTGGGGGCAGGCGGAGGTGGCCGCTATTCACCAGCGCCACGGCGCCTTCATGCCGTGCTGCCGTGCCATGCTTCTGCCTCTCTCGCCATCGCTCTTTCTCTCTGTTTCTCTCCCCCTCCGTCGGTCTCTCTCTCTCTCTCTCTTTCTCTCTCCCTCCCGAGAGTTCTCCCTCAGTCCCTCTCCCCGTCTTTCTCTACATCATTGCGGCCCGTTCCCCCTCCGTCCATGCTCCATGCCCCTCTCTCCTTCTCCATCTCTTCTGCTTGACTCCAATCATTCAAGATGCGAGCAGGTAAACGAGCAGGCAAACGAGTAGACAGGCAAACGAGTGCGCATGAATCGCTCACCACTCGCTTGGAGGGCAGCATGCAGGCATTACCGCAGACAGAGCGGATGCCTTGCCAGGCGCAAGCTCTCGAACCCTTCCCCGAGCACTGGCGTTTCATCAACAGCTGCCTTTCGACAGTCCTGTTGTCCCGAAGACGGACCCCGGAGTCGAGGGTTTTCTAAAGGTGTCCTTGGCCCAAGGTGCCCCCAGCTTTGCGCTCTAACCTGGAGCGCCCGGGCCCCTCCCAGGCCTCGGAGGAGGAGGAGGACGAGCAGGAGGAGGAGGACGAGGAGGAGGAGGACGAGGAGGAGAAGGAGGAGGAGGAGGAGGAGATGGAGGAGGAGAAGGAGGAGAAGGAGTGATGGGGTGCTGCGGAGGCCCTTGGGGCCTCCACACCCCGGGCCAGGGACACCCGAGCGATGCAGACAAAAACGGGGTCGACGGCGCGGACGCTCGCGCGCAAGCTGCCCGCGCGACGCCGCGCGTGAGCGCCCGTCTTCCTCCTCGCGGCGTGCCACGCTGGCGGCCCGCGCGAGCCGCGGCGTAAGTCGAAGAAACAACGCCATCAACAGAAACTTTTGGCCCTCAGCGCGCACTTCTTGGATCGGCGCCTGGCCCCCCTGGCGGCGCCTCCGGCGCCGCTCCCGGCGCGGTCCGCGCGCCAGGCATGGGGGGTCCAGCGCAGGTCCAAGAAATCTGCGTGGAGCGCCAAAAGTTTCTGTTCATGGCGTTTTCCCCTTTCTGGTGAGGTCGCTGTGGCTTCTCGCGGAAGGCTCCGCTCTCGTCGCCGCTTGCCTGACAGCAGCTGGTGGAGGGCGCAAGCGGCGAAGACCGCCCGCTCCAGAGTGGCGAGGCGCCCAGCCGGGTTCGGGCGCCGCAGGTCGGTCCCCGAGACCTTTGTTCCCTGCAGCGCGCTCTGGCCGAGGCTTGAGTGGATGCCTGCCCGGGCGGCGAGGGGCCGCCCCAGGAGGGCTCGGGCGGAGCCCGTCCGTCAGTCGTTCGAGCCAGGCGCCAGGCGACGGCGCATCGGCAGGGAAACGAAGAGAGCACGATGGGCTCACACGTTCCAGACGAGCGCATGGGCAGGACAGTGCCACAGTGCAGCCGACTGCCACTCGCACGGGCCAGTCCAGTGTACGCACAGAGCAGTACTGGGATCAATCGTTCCAGAGCGTTCCAGAACGCTTTCGGAGCGTTCCGGAGTGCTCTGGGCCGGCCCGCAGAGCAGGCCGTGCCGACGCCCAAGAACCCTGCTCTCAATCCTTTGATTCGATCCCAGATCGAATGTCGGGGTGCTGGGTGGCCAACTCGGCGGCGTGCACGGTGAAACTAGAGGGCTCTCAAGCTGCAAGCGCGCAGCTGTTGACTGCCTGGCTTTTGGACGTGTCGAAAAATCTTTGATGCGAGCCTCGGCGGCGACGGATCAAGCAAAATGTTCACTGAATACGAACACGCATGCATGCACATTTGCAGCGGAACATGCGGCACTGTATCCGTAATCGTGCACTGCATGGTGTGGCACGGATGTTCCACGCTTCGCGTTGGCGAGAGCCTTCTGAGAGGTTGAGGGTTTCTCAGAAGTGCTCGCAGCCTTCCGAGAAGACCTCTCAGAAGGGGGGAGAGATCCGAAAAAGGCTTCCTCATATGGCTGGAGGGCTTCGGGGGTGGCCTCTCCGAAGAGGCCGAGCTACTCGAAGTCCTCCTTTCCTGCCCCTTCCCCCTTCGCGCCACCCCCGGTGCGTGCGCCGCCGAACCCAGACCCCCGCCGTCGTAATTCTCCCGCAGCGTGGACCCTCCCGTGGTCTGTCGAGGGGCCGCTCTTTCACGCCGTTTCGTCTTTCGAGGGCCCCCCAGGCTTGGCAAGGCCCCGCCCCCCCAAGAGCCGAGCCTTGCCCAAAGCGCGTCGGTCGCGACTCGTCTCAAGGACGCGAGGGATATGGTGACAGCCCTAGAGGTTGACACCAACACTAATATCGGCGGTGTGCCTCCACCGAGGGAAGAGGAATTCCGATCTCGGTGATGGTGGTAATATTCTGGCTGCCAAGATGACCGACATATTGTCACCAACACCGACATCTAGGATCATCTTCCCCCTGTGGAGGAAACCTCCTTGTGTTGGTGTTGGTGCCCATTTCCAGGCCTCCAATATGGGATCGAGAGGCATAGCTGCGTCGTCACAGGACCTCCAAAGTCGGCCTCCAGGCCCGTCCTGGGCTGCGGCATCGGCAGAGCCTCGCGTGGGACCTGGGCGCGGCGGCGAGGTCTCTTCCCAGGAGGCCTCCCGAAGAAGCTCCCACACGAGAGCTTCGATCCTCGAGCCCTCGGTCCTCGGGCCCACAGCGTGGGACTCGGCTGGCGTCTCTCGTGCAGCATCGTCTGAAACGAGCCGATCCCCATCCCCACGCGGGTTGCAGTCAACCCGCATAGTAAGGATGCGCAACCTTCCCATGGGTGTGCCCTCGCATCCTTGCAACCTCGGTCAATCCTTGGCCACTTTCGCTGGCCGCGCCCCGCTCGCAGAGTGTCGGCATGACCTTCCAAGGCCCTCGCATCCTTGCCGCGCATCCTTACTATACGGGTTGACTGTAGCCCTCACCAGCCGCCTTCCCCGGGTGGGGACAGGCCCTGCGAAACCCGAAGGGAGCAGCATATTTCCCCGCGGCAAACTGGCCCGTGGGGCCAAGTCCATGCAAGTCGGGATGGTGGGGATGGGTTAAGCGATGTCCTCTCCCCGACGTCATGTTTTTTTCACAACGTGGCCCTCAGAGGACTCGACCGCTTCCGCAGGACCGGTCCTCAGGCCTCGTGAGGACCCCAAGAAAGCGAACATTTTCAGAAGCCTTCCGTCGCTGAGTGACGCTCGCCCGCCCCTCTCTCCCCGATGGCCCGATGGGCTCTCCATGGCGGCAGTCTTCTCTGTTTCGCCTCTAAGGTGGGGATGGTAGGGATCGGTTCAGCAATGCCTGCTCCCTCGTTCCGATCGTGTCCGATGCTCGCTCCGATCCAATCCGACTCCCCAATTCGATGCTGGCTGACCCTATCCGCTTCGCCCGACCGGCAAGCCTTTCAGGTGGTGGAGGAGGCGAAGGAGTAGGAGGAGGAGGAGGAGGAGGAGGAGGAGGAGGAGGAGGAGGATGAGGAGGAGGAGGAGGAGGAGGAGGAGGAGGAGGAGGAGGAGGAGGAGGAGGAGGAGGAGTGATGATGAGGAGGAGGAGGAGGAGGACGATTAGGTGGAGGACGAAGAGAAAGAGAGATGAGATGATGATGATGATGATGATGATGATGATGATGATGATGATGATGATGATGATGATGATGATGATGATGATGATGATGATGATGATGATGATGATGATGATGATGATGATGATGATGATGATGATGATGATGATGATGATGATGATGATGATGATGATGATGATGATGATGATGATGATGATGATGATGATGATGATGAGAGGAGGAGGAGGAGGAGGAGGAGAGGAGGAGGAGAGGAGGACGAGGAGGAGCAGGAGGGCGGAGGGAGGAGGGAGGAGCCAGGGAAAGGCCAGGATGACGAGGAGGAGGGAGGAGGACCCAGAGTTCGCTGGGCCTCGCTCCCGCGCTGCCCCCCCCGCTTCCCGCAAGGCGCTCGCCGCCGCGCGGCGCGTCGCCGCGCCGCATGGGAGGCCCGCGCCTCGCCGGTCGGGCCTGTCGGGGGGGGGTCCTTGCGGCGAGGGCGCGGGTCTCGAGCCCCCCTTTCCATTTCCCTTCCCATCCTCCTCCTCCTCCTCCTCCTCCTCCTCCTCCTCCTCCTCCTCCTCCTCCTCCTCCTCCTCCCTCTCGTTCTCCCCCCCTCCTCCTCCCCTCCTTCTTCCCCTCATTCTTCCCCTCCTTCTTCCCCTCCTTCCCTTTCCCCTCCTCCTCCTTCCCGTCCTCTTCCTCCTGCTCCTCTCCCACCAGTAAACCAGGGCCAGATCGCCACCTCCTCTCCCTCCCTCCCGCCTCTTCCCCTTTTACTCCCTATCAGCATACAGAAACCAAGGCCAGATCGCCACCCTCCTCCTCCTCCTCCTCCTCCTCCTCCTCTCCTCCTCCTCCTCCTCCTCCTCCTCCTCCTCCTCCTCCTCCTCCTCCTCCTCCCCCCTCCTCCTCCCCCTCCTCCTCCCGCTCTTCCCCCTTCCCCTTCCTCATGCTCCTCCTCTCCTCTCCCCCACCCTTCTCCCGTTTGCCGTCCTCCTTTCTCCCTTCTCGTTTTTCATGTGTGCGATATGCTTCCTGTACCGCTTTCGCCCAACGGACGTCTTCGCGGCAGCAGAATGTGTCACCTCTTCCCCCTCCCCACTCCGCCTCCTCCTCCGCCTCCTCCTCCTCCTCAATCGCTCACTACGAATGCTATTATACTCTTCTTCCCTGAAGACGTGCTGAGAGTTGAAGGATGACGCCGAGTCTTTTTTTCTTACGTGCTCTTCCAATCCGAACGTGCTCGGCCCTTCCAAAACGGCGCTGCCGCTGCAGCGTTGGCCGACTTTTCGGATGGATCGGCGCTTTGCTCCTGTCGTTAGGAATGGCGTTCTCGCCGAAGCGCGGGCCACAGTTCTCGGCCCGAACGTTTCTTCGTCCTTGTCGCCTCCTTCAGTTCCCCTCCCCCGCACCTCCCTGGTCCTCCTAGTTATCGGTCGTCGTTTCTCTGCTCCGGCTGCTGCTGTTCATCTGCATCCTCTCCTTCCTTGTCCTCTTCATCTTCTTCCTCGTGCTCATCTTGTTGCTCATATGCCACCCCCGTCTCACACACCTCCCCTTCTCTGATTCCGCATACCACGATGGGGGTCCGTTGTGGGGGTCCTCGTCCGCTAAGACACCCGTGGGCGGATAGAGAAAGAGGCAGCGCAATGGGACGGGAAAGGGAGGAGTATGACGATGATGTGGCGCGAGCGCACTCAGCGTGTCCCCCTCCCCTCTCCCTGCTCCTCCCCTCCCTCCTCCCCTTCTTCTCCTCATCCCCCTCGTCTCCAGGTCTCCCAAAAGCGATCCGAGTAGATGGGGTCGGAAGATCGTGCTGCATCGCCAATGCATCGGTGATGTTGCTCGATGTGGAGCCCGATGCATGGCCTATGCATGGCCGACGTCACCGATGCATCGCCGATGCATGGCTGATGCATCGCCAAACTCTGACAATGCAGTGCGATCCCCCGACCTCATCTGCTCGGATTCCATGTGGGAGGCCTCCATCGTCGCCTTGATGGCAAGCGTCCCGAGGGAAGCGCTTGCGTTTGGTACAGTTTTTGGACCACTGGACCGTCAACGCAACAGCTCGCGATGGGAACCCTGCCTCGTGGGCAGGCCCCGAGGTTTAGGACCCCTTCTTTTGGGCATTCGATTGTGGACCCCTTGTTAGCTCTGTAGGTCGTATTAGGTATTAGTTAGGTATTTTTTGTAGGTGTTCGATTTAGGTATTCTTTAGGTGTTCGGTTTAGGACACTATCCAGCGTTCGCGCCAAAAACCGCCAGAAGCCGACGAGGACCGCCGAAGACCGTCAGGAAGCCGCCGAAAACCGCCGAAGACCGTCCGCACGCCGCCCAAGGCTGGTGGGCATCGAGGGGTCGACCGTCGCATGCGCAACTCGGGGCCCGTTCTCTTCCTGCCAACCTCGGGCCGCAGTAACAGGGGAGCAGCGCCACTGCGGGTCGGCCGGTCCCCTCTGGCCGACTGGCCGGGGGAGGCCACGGGGGGCCGCCGTCCCCTCCCCCCTCCACTGTCGGGTGTTCTCTTCTTCGTCTTCGTCGTCTTCTTCGCTTCCTTTCGCCCTTTTTGTGGGGCAGTCTAGGGGGCCATTTGGACCACTTCGGGCCGTCTCGGCACCCTGGAGGCCAGCTGGGCCTTCTTGGAAACGCAGGGGCCATGGTTGGCCAGGGTCACCTCTGGGATCATCCTGCTCATTCCTCCCCCCTCCCTCCCCCCCTCCCTGAGCATGCAGCTTTCTCGTACTGGTGAGCAAGTCGCCACGGATCAGGGGCTGCTCCTTCACCGGGGGAGCTATCCACAACCATGGTTTGGGAGGTCGATCTGCGGGGACCTCGGCGGGAGGTGCTCGTGGTGGATCTGTCCAGGCCCTGGCGGCGGGGACGAATGCATCCACACCCGCCGCCCACGAGGTCCCCGAGGTGGATCTCCCCCCGGTGGGGTCCCCGCCCCGCCCCCGAGCTGCCCGCAGGCCCTCGGCTCTTGGGCCCGGGGGCGCTCGCCTCGGCGCCCAGGGAGGGTTCGCCCTCCCGCTGCCACCGCGCCCGCCGGCCCTCGCCCCGCCCGCGCGCCCTCCCTCCGCCTCCACGGGCAAGGAGGCGGCGGCGGCCGAGGCCGCGGCGACGACGGAGGCAACTGCCTCTCTCCGCCCTTGCCTCCAGAACGAGGACGCCGACGGCGAGGTCGTCGGCCTCTGCGTTCTGGGACGTCTTCCTGGGCGTTCGTGGAGGGCCCTCGTCGCCACGCCGGGGCGCGGCTCGGCGGGCCGGCCGGGGACTTCAGGCCTGCAGGGGCCCGCCGCCCCACCCCCCAACCTCAGGTGCGTGAAACACCTGCGCTCGGCAGCGCCGCACGGTTCCCCATACCCCAAAGCACGTACAGCATGCGCCCGGCAGTGTCAGGTGATCCCCAAGTTGAAATGGTGGGGAAGCGGCGCCTGGCAGTATTCGGTGACCCGCGCACGCACCAAATACCTGAAGCACCCGCGCCTGCCAGAGTTGAGCGCCCCCCCACACAAGCCATGTGAAATACCATCGCCTGGCAGTGTTTGGTGGCCTCCCCAAGCCAAACACCTAGTATTGGTTGGTGCCCCCCTGAACGCCAGAACCATGGAATGTTTTGCCTGACAGTGTTTGACATCTTCCGATACCCAGAATACTTGAAGTTCTGGCGCCCGGTAGGGCTTGGAGTTCCCTCAAAGACAGAAGCCCAATGTGCGTAAAAAGCTTGTGCCTGGAGAAATTCGCTTACCCCCCAAACCTAGAATATCTGAATTACCTGCGCCTTGCAGTGTCAGGTGTTCCCTCAAACTTGAGAGGTAATTGGAATACCTGAGCCTGGCAGTTCTTGGTGGTTCCCAAACCAGAGTACGTGAAATACCGAAATACCTGCGCCTGGCAGGATTTGGTCCCCCAGCCACGAGGAGCCCCGAGAGAAGGCTCCCCGTGGCCAGAGAAGCCGCCTCTCAGGGGCCACTCGAAGACCAGGGCACGGATAGGAGGCCCATTCGTGCCCTGGTGGCCAGAGGCCCCTTCTAAGGGAGCCTCGGCCACGAATAGGCCCCGGCCCCCCTCGCTCGACAACCAGGGCCCTCCTCCCGAGCCCAAAGTGGTCCTGATGTCCGAGTCTTGACTGCAAGGAGCCCCCCTCTCATGCCACTCCGTCGCGTGCGCGCCCCCCCCCCCCCCCATCCAGAGGCTCTCTGGGCCGTCCCGTCGCACCAGTGAGGCTCCCCAAGGCTCTCCAGGAGGCAGGCCACCAGACCAGGGCCACCAGGGTATGGCCAAACCTTGCCTTAAGAGGCACTCGACAGCTCCTGCGAAGACGCCAAGAGGCGGCAACTGAAGGGGAACTGGGACACACAAATAGATAAACACAAATAACCAAATTCCCAATATTTTCCAATATTTTTTGGGTTTCTGTCTTCCCGACCACTTCCGATATTTTCCATATTTTCTGGGGAATCGACGATTAATTGTGTCTATGTGTTTTTTCCCCTCCTGAGCAAAGGAGCCCCAAGAGGCCTCCAAGACATCAAAGCGAAGGCCAGGAGGCCCTGCAAGCAGGCCGAGCGCTTTCAAGAATCCAGGGGAACCCTCGGGCCCTTTCGTGCGTGGCGCCTCCTGGGCCGCTCGGCTCCAGGATGGCTCCAGGAGGGCCCGCGAGGAGCCCGAGAGAGGCCACCAAAGAGCCCCTGGAGGACCTCCGGAGGCCCCACGGGTACCCAGGCAGCCCAAAACAGCCCCCAGCAGGCCCCAAGACGGCCCCAAGCAGCGGCCCCCAAGACGGCCCCAAACAACAAAGGGGTGCAGGGTCGCCCAGTAGTGCCCCAAGATAGCCCAAGAAGGCTTCATTAAAGCCGCAAAAGACTCCCCAGACGATCAAAGGAGACGCAGGACGGCCCAAGACAGCATGAGAACGGCCCATAAGTAGGAAAAAAGGGCCCAAGAGATCCTCAAGAGAGCCGCACAGGAGCCCAAGACAGCCCCAGGGCTGCCCAAGTAGACATCCTCCTCATCCTCCTGAGTTCCTTCAAACAAATAATCGAGAGGTGGTGCCAAATGTTACTGCCTTCGGTGCTCGAAACGTTACCACCAGGAGTGCTGAGCCGGCACGGTGGCGGAATTTGCCGCAGGCATTTGGATATTTCATGCGACTTGGGCGACTTGCGGACGCCCTGCTGGACAGCACGTGGTACAGTGGAGACCCATGCCAAGAAACACCCTGCCTGCCCCCAGGGTGCCCCCGGTTTCGATGGTTTTGCCACGGACAGCGTGACGCTTCCACACCAAAAATCAAGGGACGTCTGGGGTCTAAGGGTTGGGGTTCTCGTGGAAGGTTTCTTGTGGTCGGGCGGTTCTGCTCCTGGCAGCGTTCTCGTGATCTGATTCGTGAAATCCTGGCCTCTGGGGCCCTTCTCTCGGGCCCCGAGGCCACCCGCATGGATCCGGGACGAACACGCTGCCCCGGGGGGAGGAACGGCGCCCAGTCTGTCACTACTTGCGATGCTTGCGCCCAGTAGTGTTTGGTGGACCCCCCAGGCTTGAAGTTTCAGTGCCTGGCTATGTTTGCTGGCTCCCCCAAGCCCAACATACCTGAACAACTTGCAACTGGCACTGCCCCAAATACCTAAAACACCGGTACCTGGCAGTGTGTGGTCCCCCCCCCCCAGGCTTGACAAACATCGAATGCCCGCGCCTGGCGGTGTTTGGTGCTCCTCCAAACTAGATTGGATTTCTTCAGTTCTTTCAACACAAAGCAAATAGGCATGCAGACAAGAGGAGGGATAAAGGGTGTGTCTATAGATGCAGAGAGAGAAAGAGAGACAGGGAGCAAGCGAGAGAGAGAAAGAGAGAGAGAGAGAGAGAGACAGAGAAACAATACGAAACAGACATCAGGATGATCAGTGAACGTATCGTTGGTTCTGGTTGCTTGGGGAGTGCGCGGGGCCGAAGGAGAGACAGCTGCACAGGAATCAGCTTTTGGAGGCCCGCGCGGATTTCTCGGATCGGCGCTGTATCCCCCTGGGCTCAGCGACGATCCACGGAATCTTCGCGGACAAAAAGGTGATGCTTATGCAGTTGCTCTTCCTCCGGCAGGGGCGACCGTGGACAGCTCCCCGGCCTGGGCCTCCCTGCCCCGCCACCCCCCGTCCTTTCTGGGGGGCGCCCGCGAGGACGGCGAGGACCAGGGGGGGGGGGCATATCACGGTCGGGGCACAAAGCCACACACATTTCCTGTGCCCCCCCCAGCCTCCACTTCGGCGTCACCCCAGCATACTTGTACTGTACGTGCGTCGCCCCCCCAGGGGCGACGCGCGCAACGAGAACTCTTGTAGCATATGCGTCGTGGCGGGCGCTTTCTGGCCATACCGCTGGGGAAACGATGCACTACCAGTCGGGCATACTACATGTTCGGGTCGGACGCGCGCCTCCGAGGTGGCCATCTAGTTTCAGTATGTCTCTGTGCGTCCCATTCACTCGTCCGCGCAGACGCCTCGGGCCATACTTTGCCCCAGCGCTGCTCTCCCCGCCTCTCCTGCCGCCCGCCCCCCTCCCTTGCCCGCAGGAGGCTTCATCCCCGTGGACGGCCCGCGCAGCCCGTCCAGGGACGGGTCGCCGACGAACGACTGGATCTTCAACAGGCCGCTGGCCCGCCGAAGATCGTGGACGTGCTAATCGAAGCAGACAACAATGTTAGCCAGCGTGGACCCCAAACAGTAGGTTCTTGCAATCTATACGGTGCAATCTATGTGGTGCAAAGTATGCGGTGCAACCTGCGTAATGCAATACATGCGGTGCACTCAATGTGGTGCAATGTATGCGATGCAACATATGTAATGCAATCTATGCGTGGTGCAATGTAGCGATGCAACCTATGTAATGCAATCGATGTGGTGCAAACTATGTGGTGCAATTCACTTGCTCAACTTGAAGCTGTCCTCTCCACTGCTCGCGCAAGCATCCCACCCTCCCACCCGCAACTTGGTTTACAAAACCTCATAAGATCGACTACGACGACACCGACGACAACGACGACGACGACACCGACGACGCCTCCGACGACGTCGACGACGACAACGACGCCGACGCCGACGACGACGAAGACGACGACGACGACGCCAACGAAGGCGACGACGAGGGAGGAGGAAGGACGACGACGGCGACGACGACAACGACGACAACGACGAGGGAGGAGGGAGGACGGCGACGACGCGAACGACGACGAAGGAGGAAGGACGCCGACGCCGACGACGACAACGACAACGACGAGGGAGGAGGGAAGACGACGACGATAACGACGACGACGACGGTGACGAAATAGAACCGACGACGAGACGCCGACGACGGACGACGACGACGACGTGGGAGGAGGAGGATGGACGACCACGGCGACAACGACGACGGACACGACCACGACGCCAAAGAGGACGACGACGACGAACACGAGAAAAGACAGAGGACGACGTAGGCGACGACGACGACGACGACGCGGGAGGAGGGAGGACGGCGACGACGACGACGACGACGCAAGAGCGCGCGCGCTGTTGCGAAACCTCAGGTTTTTGTAGGTTTCTTGGACGCACGATTTTGAAATCCTTCCGAAACCGATGGGTTTTGAAGGTTTTCGGCATACGCCCGCGACGACGCGCGCGTCTTCACTTCGTCCCATTTTTTGCAAAGGTTTGTCGCGACGGCACACGCGCAAGGGCGTTCGACAGATTTCAACATGCGCGCGCGCGAAGCCCGTTTGGTAGCATTTTGTGAAAATCTGGAAAAACCTTTCTGGTTTTCTTAAGATTTCGCAAGAGCTCGCGCGGAAGCTTTTTTAGCAAATCAGTGTTGCGAAACCCTGTGCTTTTGTATGTTTTTTGGGAACTCGATTGCGAAATCCTTCCGGCACCGAAGGTTTTTGAAGGATTTCGGCATGCGCGCGCGACGACTCGCGCGTGTGCACTTCGTCCCGTTTTTTGCAAGGGATTCGCGGAACAGTGTTGTGTTAGAACAAAACATGTCACCGCATAGTGTTTTTTTTGCAAGGGAACCTCAGGGGGGAACCCGGCCTGGCTGGGATGATATGATTTCATATTTAGGATGGACGAGCGGTCAGAGTCATATATGATTCACATACCCGAAAGGGGAACCGATAAGTCCGGGGGGGGGGTAGAGTCTATTATCCTTTTTTTAGAAAGGAGAACGTATGCGATGCAACCTATGTAATGCAATCTATGCGTGGTGCAATTATGTTGTGAAATTTATGCGATGCATCCGATGTAATGCAATCGATGCGGTGCAAGAATTGCGATGCGACGGGCGGCGACGGGCGGCGACGGATGGCGACGGGCGGCGATGGGCGGGGATGGCGGCGACGGGCGGCGACGGCTACGGGCGGCGACGAACGGCGACGGGCGGCACGGGCGGCGTCGGCCGGGGATGGCGGCGTTGGGCGGCGACGGGCGGACGGGCGGCGATTTTGCGGCGATGGTCCCGTCGACGGCGACGGGCGGCGACGGGCGGGGATGGCGGCAGAGGGCGGGGCGACGGGCGGCGACAGGCGGCACGGGCAGTGGCGGGCGGGGATGGCGGCGACGGGCGGGGCGACGGGCGGCGACGGGCGGCGACGGGCGGACGGGCGGCGATTTTGCGGGAAGGGTCCCGAGATGGTGAACGCAAGTAAGAACCCCTACAGTCAACCCGCATAGTAAGGATGGGCAACCTTCCCAAGGGTACCCTTGCATCCTTGCCTCCTCGGTCCATCCTTGGCCGCTTTGGCTTGCCAAACTCGTTCGATTGCACTCCAAGGCCATTGCATCTTTACCGCGCAGCCTTCTTACACGTTTGACTGTAAGTGCAAGCGCCTGTATGGGGAATTGCATAAACATAGATTTTTGCAGCTCCGGGCGGATTTCTTGGATCGGCGCTGGGCCCTCCTGGCAACGCACCTGGCGCCGCCCCTGGCGCGCTCCCGCCCCTGGCACGCTCCGCGCGCCAGGGAGGGGGGTCCGGCGCAGATTCAAGAAATCCGCGCGGAGCGTCAAACATCTACGTATGTTTATGCCGTTTTTGTCTTCCACCAATCAGCACAAACCTGGCACCTTGTCTGTGGTTTCCAGTTTTCCTCCGACCTCATGCCGGGTTTGTCGCTTACTGGTTTCTGTGCTCTCATAGACGGCATTTCCGCGACCTCATGCGATCTCGTGGGCGCGATAGCCGGTATCAGCACAGACCAGTCATTGAGGTTTTGCGTATTCAAATGTTTGTGTTGTGCTGACAGGTTCGCGTGCGCTCAAGAAGAGTCGTTGCCATCGAAGAAGGAAACACCCAGTCGGCAGGTTCGTACCGTGTCCGACTCGATGGCGGCACCAGCGCGGGCGTTCAGGGTTCAACGCCGTTAGCCCAGGATCGGCAGGCATCGAGCGATTTATGTTGTCGGGAGGCTGGGATCGACGATCAATGTTGACCGGCCCTTCGCGTCGCCACGACACGAATTTGCTATACATGTGTCTGAACTTTCGGAGGTCCGCGCAGATTCCTTGGATCGGCGCTGTGACCCCACTCGTGGCTTCTCTGGCGCTGCCCCTGGAGCGCTCCGTGCGGTCGCAAGGGGTTGGTCCAGCGCAGATTCAAGATCTTCTCGCGGCCCTCCGCCAGTTTATGTTTATACATTTTGTTATTTATCTGTGTCAGCGTCTTGGAATGATTCGCCAGAATGCTGAAAGCGTCCTAAAGGTGAAAACGGTCCCAGGTGTTTCTCCTCTTCCTGGGGCTCTTGGGGCTAACCCCAAAGGGTTCACGTATGTCTGTTTTGATCCGATCGATCCGATTCGACCTCGATTCTTGCCGGCCCGATCCGTTTCGATTCTGACCATCCGATGTGGCCCGATGTTTACATGGCGCTGTTGTGCATCGCGGTGCAGCCGGTCCGATTCGATGTCGACTCCGTGCCGATGCAGCCCGATCCGATGCACGTTTCATTTCGATCCGATTTCCCTACTTGGTGCTGGCTGATCCTGGCCCAGGCCTGGGGCGCCGTTGGAAGCAACTCGGGATTAGAACGTGGTCCCTGGGAGAGCCCCAGGGATCACCAGGACTCGTTGCCCTCATGCCACGGGGCTGCAGCGAGAGTCCTGCCGTGAGGAATCTTCCTGTTCGGTCGAGGCCTTGCCCCGAATAACCTCCGACGAGGAGCGGACCCCCTTTTTGGCCCCACTCGCGCCCACATGCACGAGGAGCGCAGGAGGAGGCAACCAGCGAAGGAGCCCGAGGAAGCTCCAGCTCCATGAGCCCAGAGGGGTCCTTCCTCCTGGGTGCTGCCTGTGCCACGGGACCGTCCGAGACCGATCCGGCGCACGCTCCGATTCGATTCGATTTCCCTTGGGTTGGCCCGCTCGCTCTGCTCCTGGCCATCACCTCGGCCCCCCACGCCTGCATGCCTGCGCATCATCGTAGCATGCCTGGGCATGGCCATAGGCACGCCTGCATCAATGGATGCGTCTATGGGCGTGGCTGGGCGTGGCAGACAACTAGGCATCGACCTGTTGATGCCCGGGCGTCGAACTGGCGATGCCCAGTCATCGGCAGGACGGTGCGCAGGGTAGGCATCGATGGTCCAAGGTGCTGTGAGCCAGTGGGCCGTGCCAAGGCTTCCCCGCTCGATGCCGACTGCTCCCGGATGGGCCTCGGAGCGTGCCTGGAGGCGCAGGCCCCGAAGCCTGGGCTCCCGCGAGGCGGCTCACGGCATGCCAATGCTCGCGCTGCCTCGGCGCAGCGGCGGCTCGGGCACGGGCGTGCTCGTGGCCGAGCGCGCTCTCGACGGGACGCCTCGAGACTCACCACCCGGCCTCAGAGGAGGAAAAGCTACCCATACCTCTACCCTTGCCTCGTTTTCCCCTTGTTGGGCCTCCTGGGAGGCTCTCGTTTCCACCGCTGGGTTCTCGTCGAACTCTTGGTCAGAACGCACCCCGAGAGAGGTCCGGGGAGTAGCGGTATCGGTACCTTTTGGTTTCCCCGCGCCCATCCCAGTTCTCACCTGGAAGAGACGCAGACGGCGCCAAGAGTGGGTGACTAGTCCGAAAACTTGTCGGCCCAACGGGCCAGAGGCGTGCTAAGATCTCCGGTAACTGGTTTAGAAGTTTTCTAGTTCGTGGGCGCGGGGCCGCCATTGGGGGTCCCCGGATCAAAAGTACCCCGGCTGATCCCCGGCGAAATTTTACTCGGAGATGGTTTTTCTCCTGGGTGCGGCCTCTCAGGCCCCCCACAAGACGGTCCAAGAGGGCCCCGGGTCACCGAACGACCAGTCCAAGACCCCAAGCTGTAAGACGCCCCAAGCATCCTCCAGGAGAACTCCCAAGATGGCCCCCAGAGGCACAAATTACTCAGTTTCATCACGCTTTTGAAAGATTTTGGCGTTCTCGCCTTTTCGGCTTTCCGACGCTCCAGGATGTCTCCAGAGGCCCCCAAGACCGCCCCAAGACGGCCCGAGACGCCTCCAAGAGAGACCCCAGACGGTCCAAGACGGCCCCAAAACGGCCCCGGAGGCGTCAAGATCGCCCAATGAGGGCCCCAAGACGGCCCCAAGAGGGGCCCAAGAAGGGGAACACGAACCATCAATTCGAGACTTCCGCCCCAAGAGGCACCAGCAGGCCCCAAGAGGCCCCCAAGAGAGCCCCGG